ATACATTATATATATATATATATATATATATATATGTACTATATATAGTATACATATTATATAGTATACATATATTAATTTGTAAACCAAAAGTATTTAATCAATCAAATATAAAATTTAATTAAAAAATATAATTTCATATTTAATTTAATAGAAATATACATAAAATGCCATGATATGATTGCTTGTATTGTATGATTCTTTTTTTTTGATTGATTGATCCGTATAATATAATAATGTAATTACAATAATTGTTTCCTCCATGCGAATTGATTCAATATTGGAATAAAATAATTATTATTAGCATATATAAAAATAATCATTTCCCAATCATTAAGTGATCGAAGAAATTTAATAAATTTATTTTTAATTTAATATATTTTTATTGTTAGTTTTTATCTGTTGTAGCAAATATAGCAAATGTAGTAAATTTTCTAGTAAATATGTATATTTAGTAAAAAGAATCTATATTTATCTATATTACTTTCATACATTTGAGTTGATGAATTTATTAAAATTTTATATAAATTTATATTTATAAATGTATACATTTATTATACTTTGAGCTCTTACTATAAATTATATATTAAATTACATATAATAATATAATTATAAATGTGATAATCTCATTTATAAGTTCTATTGTTAATATTAAAAACAATTAAATCCGTAAAAATGATAGATTTCATTTTTTGTTTTATGATTACTGAATATAAAAATGTTTTTGGCAAAATTACTATAATACTATAATATTTTATATATATACCATTATTATTATAATTACACATATTATTACTATATTATTTATTTTTTAATATTAATTTATATGAAATCATTTAATTATAATTATTTATATGTAAAATAGATATTTATTAGAAACCGATAATTCTATGAAATGAATCTTATACAAATCATACTATAACTTCATCGGTTTATATATAAAGTTATATATTACAGATTATATATTACAGTTTGATTATTTTAAAAAATTAATAAATAAAATATAACATATTAAAGTTAAGATTTCATGAAATCATAAATTGTTAAAATTTTTTAATATTAAAAATCGTGCACATATAATCATTTCATCTTATATAGTATAGAGTTTGTTTTATTTATAGTTAAATATCTTTTAAGAATATATGAAAAGATAGTTCTTTAGTATAACAAAAATTATTTGGTATGAGAAGATACATTGTTATAATTATTAAAATTTTTTATAGATAAATGCATAAAATATATTGGAAAATCACGTTTTTAATATTTATCTTTTATTTCCTAAAAAGTATTAAATTATTTGAAAAAAATCATTATTTCAGAAGATATTATAACTTTATGTTTGTAAAATTGTATGAATGACAATGAAGAATATGAATGATAAAATATTGTTTCGTTTATTTCTTATTTTTCGTACAATTTTACAAATTTAAAATTACTTCAATTAATATTTCCTAGACTAGGTTCTTTGATATAAATAATTTTTTTTATAATAAAAAAAACAATAAGATATATTATAATTAATATATTAAAAAAAATATATGATTATGTTTAAAAAAAAACATTTTTATAATAAAACATACATATCCA